ACTACAGATTCTTTTTTCTTGAGATATACTTGACATATAACATTATATTACTTTCAGGTATATAACATAATGATTTGATATTTGTATATATTGTGAAATGATCACCACAATAAGTCTGGTTAATATCCATCACCACAGATAGTTGCATATTTTTTCCTTACGATGATAAATTTTAAGATATGCCCTCTTAGCAACTTTCAAATAATACAGTACAATACCTATCATCACCACGCTGTACATTACATCCCCATGACTTATTTCTTTTATAACTGGAAGTTTGTACCTTTTGACCACCTTCACCCATTTCACCCACCCCCAACCCCCTGCCCTCTGGCAACCACCAGTCTGTTCTTCGAATCTATGAGTTTGTTATTTTGTTTATTTGTTTGTTTTAGATTCTACATATAATTGAGATCATGCAGTAATTTGTCTTTCTCTTTCTGACTTACCTCACTCAGCATGATCCCCTCAAGGTCCATCCATGTTGTCACAAATGGCAAGGTTTGGACTGTGCAGGTTATCTATTTCATCTTTGGTGAGTTTTAGTGGTTTGCGGTTTTAGAGGAAATTCTCCATTTTGCTCTAAGTTCTTGAATTATGTGCATAGAAATATTCATAGTATATCCTTATTATCCTTTTAATTCCTGAGGGACTGTAGTGATATCCCTTCTTTCCTTCCTGATATTGATAACTTTTGCATTCTCTCTTTTTATCCATGTCATTCTGCCTAGTGGTTTCTCAATTATATTGCCTTTTTCAAAGGCAAGCTTTTGGTTTCATTGATTTTTCTCTATTGTTTTTGTTTTTACTTTCATTGATTTCTGCTCTTTATTATTTCATTCTTTCTGCTTGCTTTGGGTTTATTTTGCTCTTCTTGTTTTTGGATTCTTAAGGTGGAATCTTGGGTTACTGCTTTGAGGCCATACTTTTTTCCTAATATAAGAATTTCATGTTATAAGCATCTCACCCATTTGGGCATATCGTATTTTAATTTTTGTCCAGTTCAAAATATTTTATAATTTCCTTTGAGAATTTCGTTCTATGAATTTTCCTTTCCAGGCACTCAGAGAACTTTATCTGTTCCATGTCTTTTGATTCTTGGTTATAATCAAGTGCTAAATTCAAATATGTCATTTGATGAGGGTTTTTTAATAACTTCATTTATCATTGTGAATAATGTGATATTCATTTACCTTGCTTTATTAAGGATTATAATAGTGATCATGTATTGAGTGCTTACTATGTCCTAGGCACTATGTTGATCACTTTACATGGTCTTACCTCATTAAATTCTCTCAACAACTCTTTTAGTTGATACTGTTATTAGCCCCATTTTATTACTGAGGAGACAGAATCACATATTTTTTTCTTTATTTTTGAAAATTTTATTATTTATTTGGCCATGCCGTGGGGCATGCAGGATCTTAGTTCCCTGACCAGGGATCAAACCCATGCCCCCTGCAGTGGAAGCGCAGAGTCTTAACCACTGGACCACCAGGGAAGTTTCTGAATCACATATTTTAAGTCATTTGTCCAGAGTCAACTCAGCCAGTAAATGGTAGAGCTGGGATTTGAATGTAGGTTTGATTCCAAACCAAGTTCTTAACCATTATAATACATTTCCTCTAGTTATTTTATTTCTTGGCTTCTCAATACGATTGTCAGCTTCTTGAAGGCAACTACTAGGTCTTAATTATATTGATCTCCTTTTCTCTATAGCACCAGGAGCGATATTAGACACACACTAAGGGACTAATGTGTGTGGACTAAATTTAATGAAATTAACTGACCTGAAAGAGAATCAAACCCATAACACTTGCCATATTGCCCCAGGTTGTCACCAGCTAAGGTAACTTAGTACAGTATCCTACACAGAAACAAAAAAAGCTGACAGAACATCTGTGACAGTGGCAATGGCCAGGTGTTCTAGCCAGCAAGAAGAAGATTTATAAGTGTGACGAACTGACCTGGAGTCCATCTCCAAGCTCTACTCTTCGGTTCTGGCCTTCAGTCTGTCCTTTTGCTCTCTCTCGATCTCCTTCTCACACTTCGAATTTTTAAAACAGTTCGACTTTCCTCCATGGTTCATGATCCCTCTCGCCTTTTAATATGAGGCTTTTAGGTGAGCTCTTCACCATTTATTTAAGAAACATGTATCTGAGTCTTACTGTATGCCATGTACTTTTTTAAGCACTTTATACATATCAACTCCTTATAATAATTCTGTGAGTTGGTACTGCTATTATTCCCATTGTACAGATGAAGGAACTCTCACTGGATTTTCTAGTGGTTCGTTTTCTATTTCCAATACCCAATAGAAATCTGAGTGGCAGGCTGGAGGTGGTATAAAGCAAAAGCAAAAGCCTTTGCCTCTGATGTGGTCAGTCATTTACCTGTTGGGCCGTGCCCTGGGTCTGTAGAGGCCAGTGAAGCTGTGTAATTGGGGCAGTTTTGCAACAGAACACACTAGGGGTTCCGTCGCTCTTAGGCATGACCTTCCCTGTCCCATGGGCATCCCAGAACCTTTTTTCCTACCTGGTCTGTTGTCTGACACACACACACGCACGCACGCATGCACGCACGCAACACGTGTAATGTTCATATCATGGATTTGAAGTGCAGGGTACAGCAGCAAAAACACGGTCTTGAAACTTGGTGAGTGTGACTTCTCCCTCTGCCACTTATTTATTATCTGTTTGATCTTGGGCAAGTCACTTAATCACTTAGTGCTTTGGTTTTCTTAGCTGTGAAATTGAAAATGACGCTGATTATCATAAAAACTGTGGGGAATAAATGAGATGATGCATTCGAATACTTAATCCAGTGATTGGCACATGAAAGTGCTCAATATATGTTAGATATGTTTTATAATTAGTGATATGCAAGACCCTTTTATATATTAAGTATAATTCACCCTTTGGCCTGTATGTAGCTTGTGGAACTGAATTTTGAGGACCCAGAACAAGGCTTATCTTTATCTAGGAATTTATTGGTTATTTTGAATCTTGATGTTGGCTTTTATCTTCTTTATCTCTGGCCTTCCATGGGCCTTTGGGATCAGTTCCATTATCCTCAAGATTTAACTTTTGTTGCCCAGATATCTACTCGGCCTTGTGTAAATGCCAGCATTCTTTTAAGGTCAGTGGCAAAGCCTGGCACTAGAGTTCAGCTTTACCTCGACTATCAGTGAGATGTTTCCTCTCCCAGGGCGACTGTTTCTGCTGTGGCTGTCACTTAGGAGGGTCCAGGGGGCAGAGTTAGGCCAAATGTTACTTCACCCCAGCCCTGGAACGGCTGTTAATGAGCCCTGCTCCAGGCATTGAGGCTCGAGCCAGAGTTTTTAACAGTCAGTTTCTGAGAGCATGGGGTGCTCCCTAGAAGGATGCTGTTGTAAAAGCATGGTAGTCTGGCCAACCCAGGGAGGGACATTGCATTGGTGTGCCTCCAAGGAGGTGGTAAGAGAGACCCCTGTAACCAAAAGGAAAGAAAATGGAGCATCTGTGACTCTCTACCTGAGGTCATATTTGCAATGGAGGAAGGGAGTCAGGCTCTGATACAAGACAGTGAGAGGGGTCTGGAGTCAGATAAACCTGGGTTTGCATTGTGGCTCTACTGTCCTCTGTGTGACACTGACAAAGTCACTTCACTTTTCTGAGCCTGGTTTCCTCATCCACAAAATGCAAACACTAATTGTACCCATCTCGTTAGATTGCTGTAAAAATTCGGCGAGAGGATTTACTTAAAGCAGTTAATTTGATACTTGCCTGGAATATGTTAAGTGCACGTCATCACCATCATCGCAGCATTGGTAACAACAAGCAGCAGAAAGAAACAAACAGCAGCCTTGGGGCTTGTGTGCTGTTCCCTTGGGGCTCCTTATAACATTTCTGTTAGTCTTAGGCACACGTCTGTGAGCGCCAAGAGAAGAGCTTAAGTTCTTCTAGGTCCCAGTCAGGGCATAACAGAGATCCTGGTATCACGAGGCTGCTGTGAGTGTGGGTGTGAGAGAGCGCGAGAGTGAGCTTGAGGTCCAGAAGCCACGTTGACTCAGCGATGGTTGTACGTGACCCGTCAAATTAGCTTTTCTCCAGGAGGAACAGACTGTCATTCTTTGCTTCTCCCTCAGTAGTAAAGGACCACTTGCCTGGATGAAGGAAGCTGCTTAAATCCATCCCCACAGCTCACACAAGCAGAATTTGTTCCTGACTTGCTTGTTCTTGAGCCAATCAGGAACCCCCTTACAAAGGGTTCCTAGTGTGGGTTTTAACAAGTCTGGACTTGGGAAACGGTATCCCTACCCGATGCTGGAGACCCGTGGTTTTCTTGTCTCTGTCTCTTTTTTCTTTTGTGTTTTGCTTTTAAATCACAGAACCCAGTATGTAAAATAGATGAAGGAAAGTTTGGAAGGCTGCCACTTCTGCCCTCCCCACCTCCCGCAGCAGCCCCTGAAGGTGTTTCTAAGAAGGTGGGAGAGCGCATTTGCAAACGCTGCAGTTGGCTCCCTGGGTTGTATTAGCTAGCCTTTTTATGCCCAGGTCTCTGTCTGGGGAGAAGCCTTGGGCATGGCTGTGGAAATAAGCAGCCTTGCTCTAAGAAACAGGTCTCTACTGTAGTAACACACTAGTGTAATAACACCTGGCTCCCGCAGTTCCCCTTTGTAATGCTGCCTGAGCCGCAGCAGCTGGAGCTGAGATTGGGACTGACCGCATGTTTAGGGAGCCCAGAGCTCATTATGCAATGAAGTGTTGTAACCAAAGCGTGTTCACAAAGTGGTTGGGGGATTTTGAGGTGGCGGTGGTGCTCTTCAGAATATTTCAGTCAATGCAAAATATGCTGCTTTTCATTTATTTATGCGTGTGTGCCAACTCCAGTGCCATTTTACACAGAGAGCCACTTGTTTACACGCTCTCCCATCTGCCATGGCATAACCTGACACAGTTTTGTCTGCCTCTGCATCAGAGTCAGCGTGTGACCTGCACTTTATCTCTTTTCCTCTCCAGGCTACAGATGCACATGTTGAATGGAGCTCTTCTTGCCCTGCTCTTTCCTGTGGTAAATACGCGGCTGGTAAGTAACCTCTTCTAGGAACATACCAGCAACATACAAAACGGTATTTGCTTGCTCGTCCTTAGCTCATGTGCCCGTGTGAGTTTTCATTTTTTAAATTATTTTTTATTAAAGCATAGTTGGGATTTACGATATTATATCAGTTTCAGGTGTACAACATAGTGATTCAATATTCTTATAGATTAATCTCCATTTAAGGTTATTATGAAATATTGGCTATATTCTCTGTGCTGTGCAGTGTATCCTTATAGCTTATTTATTTTACACATAGTAGTTTCTACCCCTTACCCCTCCATGTAAGTTTTTAAATATCTACACATTCAATGTTGAGGTTTGATGCAGCCCTGTTTGGATACAGTGGAGCTTGATGGGGCCGAGAGTATTGTGTGGAACTCTAGGGCTTTAATAAGGGTTTAGGCCAGAACCAAAACGGACCAAAAAAGCCTACAGAGGCTCTTGGAAGGGTTTGGTGAAGAGAAAGGGGGCCTCACCCATTCGACAGAGGCTTCTAGGTGTTCTAAGGGCCTCTAGTGTGGACTCAGCCACATTGGTCCAGAATAATCTGCTGGGGAGCCTCAAAGCCAGTCTGCTTTGCCAAAGGCCCCTTTGGGCAAGAACTGGATTTCTTCCCTGTTCCTCCAAACCCACAGGGCAGTCTGGCCCACACGTTCCCCCAGTGGCTAGCAGGTAGAATCCCCCTGTGGCAGGTGGCTGGGTGATGAACCAGTGCAGAGGGAAGCAGAAGCTACAGGAGTGGCTGGGCCCTGTCCTCAGACTCCCATATGTGGGACTGCAGAGGGGTTAGCAGGCTGGGTTAGAAAGCTCAGGGAAAGAAATCACCTGTGAAATCCTTCCTACTGCTTTCTGTTTTCATGACTTAAATTTGCCTCATGCATTAAGATCATAGTTTAAATCTCATAATGATAACCCTTCCTCTTTGGGTAGCATTTCATAGTTTACAAGGTCTTTTCCAATAACAATTGTGTAACGTAGATATTAAGCTGGGTGAGGGCAAGTATTATGGCCTCTTGTTATAGAAGAAACTGACATTCAGGGAGACACACAGATTCTAAGTGGCAGAGTTGGGAGTGGAGACTAAGCCTCAGATCCTACAACCACAGCTACACTTCACTCTCTCTGAGGATTTAGTCACTCCCTCTCCACAAATACTCATGTATACCCTTATGATGGTTATACTTTTCTAGGTGCCTATTATATATACATCAGTAGAAATTCCTCCCTCCCTCCCTCTCTCCCTCCCTCCCTCCCTCCCTTCCTTCCTTCCTTCCTTCCCTCCCTCCCTTTCCCTCTCTGCCCTTCTTCCCCTCTCTAATGGCAGATTTTCTATTATATTTGTTATGACACCTAATACTTTCCAAATAAATGTCAAGCTATAGCCAGCCAGCTTATCAAGAATGTCCAAGTAACTTTCCTTAACATTGAAATTTCTTTGATGAGCTCTCTCTTAACTAGCGATTCCAATCACTCTGGTAAATAATCTTGGTCCTCTTTTTCTAAAATGAAGCCGATAAAAGCTCACAATGGTGGCTCCATTTGCATATGTCTTGACAACTGGCTTTGGTCTTGGTCTGGTTATTTTAAGTGGGTGGGACCACTCCTGGGTTACCCTGGCTTTCCAGACTTTTTGCTTTGCAACCCCTTATTTGAGCTCAGACCTCTTATTTGACTTAAAATAAGACACAGGAAGGTAGGCAACTCTTTAAGCCTGATGATCCAGTTAGGCAGGAAGTCAGCTTTTGACTTCTCTTTTGCCCTTCCTTCCTTCTTGGCCCTTGATCTTTTTAATCCTTTTTTTCCTAATTAGCTATAATGAGGAAACAAGGAAAGTAGAATGAACTAATTGGTGTGTATTCCAGTAACACAGACATACATACACTCACATATATAAAGACAGCGAGTGAGGGAGTTGGAGGAAGTTGCCACAGTCAGCTAAAGGATTTGGGTCATCAGTGAATTTCCATGTGCTGTAGTACTCTGTCCTATGCCTCATTGGCACTGGGGTTTGCAGACCAGCTAGAGAATACCCAGATCCAACTTCCTCCTGGTTCTTCATCTTAGAAGCTGACACCTTAGAAGAAGGAACGTGTATTCCAATGGCCCATATTACAAGTAAGTGCTCTTTGCCTCCAGGATTTCAGAGTAGGTCTCTTTCTGGCTTCAGATGAAGTGTCTCAAGGGTGATTTCCCTTTTGTTTCTTGGAGGGAAGGAGGGGAAATTCATCATGGAACTATTGTTAGATCAGCAGAGAGCTGAAAGCTTGTCTGGTCTAATCTTCTAGAGGGGGAACTCAGATGGTTAAATGACTTGCCTAAAAAGCCAAGGTGGGTGCGCCTCGAACCCAGGTCTCCTGACTCAGACTTCAGAGCCCTTTTCCTGTTGTCTGATTGAAATTCAGTGTGAGTTTGAATACTAGTGAGTCAAGATGCTGGAGATGCTGCTTAGCTTCTCTCCATCTAAAAGCGTTGGGTCATAGGCTTCTTTGATAAGTTGATGAGGACCATAGAGCCTCTTCCCAGATGCGCAGAGACAGGTTTGCATACAATTTCAGGGGGGACACAGACTGCCACCTCCTGCCCCTTTTGCCCATAAGCCCATCCATGGATCCCATGTTAAGATCCCCCCAGCCCAAGCTGTCAGTAGTCCATGGCTTGGAGAATAGACGAGCTGCCTATTTTGTGAGCTCCTTGTTATAGCCAGTGGCTTTTTGGTCTGATGGTGATGGGGTTCCTTATCTATGCCTGGGACTTTGCAAAGAATGTCATCCATGCCAGGCTAAACCACCTTCTGGAAAGTGCAAGCCAAGAGGCTGGGGTGGGGGGTTAAGTAGGGTGCCTATGGAACTTGGCTGCATATTAGCTTTTCAGTTATAGCTCTTACCTTGCAAAGCTGGTGGTCTGGTCCTCAGAATGAGGCACTGGGCCCAAGCTGCATCCCCAGACCTGTGCCTTTTGCCCTGAAACGCCCATGACAGTTTCTTATAAATGCGATGTGTTCTGAGCAAGGGAGATTGGAAACAGAAAAGAAACTTAAGACACTGTATCAGCCCCCTTCTCAGACCAGAGACTCTGGCCTGGCCAGTATTTATGTTTGCAGCCATCTGTCTTCTACTAGAATAATAAGGAGAAGAAGAATAATGATTCTTTTCATCGAGCTCCTTTCTTCTTCAAGGCTCAAAGCCTCAAGTATATTATTATTTCATTATCAAAATTGCCCATTATTGTGTATCCATGTTGATCTGTTACATTAGTTCCTTTTTTCCTCCTTTACCACCCCTCCCCTTTTACCCAGTTCTTTTGCTCTGTTAGATGGTTCTCCTGAATGTTCCTAACTGTCAGACTGAGTGGAAGAGGTTAGTAATGATTTTTTCATCACTGGGGTGACTGCTCCCCATCCACAATCATTATTTCAATGTTCTTGGGATGTAACTGCCGCCGGCACACCTTGTACCCATGTGGGCTTCTGGGAAAACTTTGCTGTCACCAATGCAGATCGGCTCTCACTCTGCTGATTGGCATATTGAAACATGCTAATTGACCTAGAAAAGTTATTTCTGTGAGTGGGAAATTGAGCTATTTTAAAAAGTTATAGTTTGGGGTTTTGGACCTGAACTACGGACAGAACGTCCCTTTGCTTTTTTTTTTTTTTTTTTTTTTTGCATTTTTGAAACAGAAAAATTGTACATTACAAATACAAGACATTTTAGGATAATTTTGAGGTGTTTTTTTTAAGTAATGTGACCGATAAGTTAATGTAATTTTTAGCTATCTGATTTCTTTTTCTTATTTAAGCTCAAAGAAGTAAAACTATAATTCCCTTTGCTTTCTTAATAGTACTTAAAATAGAAAAAGCTTGTTTTCAGAAGAGGCCTTAGCTTTCTGAAGAATTGATTTGGGCAAAGTTGCGCCTCAACCTTCTACAAACACCAGCGTGTTTCTGATCAGATGAATGCCAAGTGTGCAGGGATGTGGAAGGTGGTGAGAAGGCCTGGGCTTCCACCAAATTCTAGGGCCTGCCCTAGAATATGTCTAATTGCTGCCTGTACTTCAAGATTAACCTCTGAGGGTCTTACATCCTCCATGAATACAGCCCAGCCATACCAGTCAGTCCAGATTTTTATTGAGCGCTTTTCTGTGTTAAGTACTGTGCCGTATGCTGCAGGAGATGCAAAAGCAACCAGAATACATTCCTGGCCTTCAAGGAACTTGCAGTTTAGTTAGAAAGATGAGGCATAAGTGCCTGAGAGGTGATGGCAATGTTAGAGTCAAAATGGTGAAAAAGGAAAATTGCAAGGCAATTCAGGCTCAATCGCTAAATTGCAGTTGTTCTGACCTCTAAGAAAATGGGAAAAGGATTAATATTAGCAGCATTTTTTGAGCACCTACCATGTGCCAGGCGATTTATGGATGTTCTTATTTAATTCTCACAAGAACCCGATTTTACCTATGAGGAAACTGAAGTTCAAAGAAGCTAAATGACTTGCTCAGGGTTACATGGTTTGTAGGTACTAAAGCTAAACCCGAGGACTTTGCACTCTAATGCATTGTCTCCTGGAGAGGTCGTTGGATGCAGTGGTCCAGAAAGGCTTCATGGAGAAGTAAAGCCTGAACCAAACCTTGAAGCGCTATTAGAATGTGCATGCAAATTGCAGAGGAAGGAGGTAGTTCAACCAAAGGAGTGCCGGGGCCAGTGGCATGGAGGTAGGAACCAGTAAACTCCTCATTGAGCGTCTGAAGAGCAGGATGGAGAGTCATGAACTCCAGTTCGTATATATAGACTTTGCCCCTTATTTGCCAATCACCAGAAGACATCCTGTGACACCGCTTCTGTCACATCTTCTAGCCCTTGTAGTGTTTAGATTTTATGTGTATTTCTTATCTTTTCCACCGCTACTAAGAATTCCTTGCAAGTAGATGGGACTTTGCAACCACAAAAGCTTTCACAAATGCAAATATGTCACCCTAGTGTAGTTGTTAAGAGT